CACTTTGAATAAAGCTTTTTTGGTCTGAAAGGTGGCCACCGGACTTACACTTTGTTCTGTTGCTTCCGACAAGCACGGCTACCTCCCCTGAATTTCAGCTCTTATACCTGAAGAAGTGTGCCTGCACACGAAAGCTCATTCCCAGAATTAAACTTGGTTGGTCTTAAAGGTGCCGCTGGACTCGAACTCTGTTCTGTTGCTACAGACCGACAGGGCTGCCCACCTGGATCAAGTCCTGGCTCGCATATTCTATAGCAGGAGGTGGCAGAATGGAGCCCACGCTTTCAGGTTGCAGGAAGGCGGGTGGACTGGATTCCAACTTCTAACAGAATAGAGGAGGAGGAGATTGGATTTATGCCCTGCCCTTCACTACTCAAAGGAGTCTCAGAGCAGCTTACAAACTCCTTTCCCTCCCCCCCCCCTTCCCCCCAACAGGTAGGTGGGGTTGAGAGAGCTCTCTTGAGAACTGCTCCCGAGAGAACAGCTCTTGTGAGAACTATGGCTTGCCCAAGGTCATCCAGTAGCTGCAAGTGGAGGAGTGGGGAATCAAACCCAGTTCTCCCATATTAGTGTCTGCGCACTTAACCACTACACCAACTGGCTCCATACCAATAGAAAACTAACACCGCAGGGAGAAAGATGCTACACCATAATTTTGGTTGCTCTGCTGGGTTTGTACTGGCAGGCTGGGGAGTTTGGGGCTCAGGGCAGTCGTCCTAAAACCTGTGCTCCTCCGTGACTCCCTACCCTGTCTGAAGTGAAGTAGTTAATTCTGCCGCCTATTTTGTGCGTGAGTCAGGCAGTCAGTGTCAATTTAAGAGTGACGAGCACGTCTCCTGCCCCCCCCCCCCCACAGTTCCATCAAGAAGGCTATGGTGCTATTGGGAATATGATAAGAAGCACTGAAAAATATTTCTGTAATGTTCATCATGTGGAACTGGTGCAATGTAGCATCCAAGCATGCATAGGTATCTGAAAGGTAAGTAAAGGTAAAGGTTCCCCTGCTCAAAAGCCAGTCGAGTCCGACTCTAGGGTTGCGGTGCTCATCTCCATTTCAAAGCCGAAGAGCCAGCGGTGTCTGAAGACATTTCCGTGGTCATGTGGTCGGCATGACTAAACACCAAGGCGCACGGAGCGCTGTTACCTTCCCACCGAAGTGGTACCTATTTATCTACTTGCAATTTCTTGCTTTTGAACTGCTGGGTTGGCAGGAGCTGGAACTAGAGACGGGAGCTCACTCCGTCATGCGGCAACTCAGGTCTCGAACTGCTGAACTACCGGCCTTCCACAGCCTGCAGTTCAGCATCTTAACCACTTGAGCCACCGCAGCTCCTATCTGAAAGGTACCAAGTTCAAATTTGCCCTCCAACAATCTGCAATACGGGAATAATAATACTGACCTATCTTGTAGGACGGTTGTGAAGGTTATGTGTGTGAAGTATTTGGGAGTGAGTGAGCATGGTGTAGTGGTTAAGAGCAGCGACTCTAACCTGGATAACTGGGTTTGATTCCCCACTCCTCCACATGAAGCCAGCTGGGTGACCTTGGGTCAGTCACAACTCTTTCTGAAAGCCAGTTTGATGTGGTGGTTAGGAGCGCAGACTCTAATCTGGGAGAACCGGGTTTGATTCCCCACTCCTCTACATGCAGCTGCTGGTGTGACCTTGGGTCAGACAAACTCTCTCAGAGCTGTTCTCATGAGCAGTCCTTGAAAGAGCTCTCTCAGCCCCACCTCCCTCACAGGGTGTCTGTTGTGGGGAAGGGAAAGGAGATTGTAAGGCACTCTGAGACTCCGAGTGAAGGGCAGGGTATAAACCCAATCTCCTCTTCTTCCGTTAGACTGGAACCTGGAGCTGCTGTTAGCGCACCAACTCTCCAAAGCCCAGGCAGATGGTTCGGCGCTCTGTAAGAAGCTGGAAGTTTAAATAAGGGCAGCTTCGAGAAGGTGCATGGGCAAACGCACAGTCCTAGCGTGCCAACACGGCCCTTAGATCAGGGCTCGGGACGGCAAATGTGTCAGGTTTCCCTGCAGATCTTTTCCACTAATAACAGCACTTTCCTGATGCAATGAACCTTTGGACGTAATTGGCACCTAATCCCATGTTATGACAGTCAAGCCTCCAAACGTACCCGGTTGTCGGAATAAGACTGGCATCGTCCACCACAGTATACGTAAACCCCGGTTGCAAGTGTTCCCCCTCCATGAGGAAACCTCGAAGAAAGATCAGAGACTGTAGGGGTGAGCATAAAGGTGCATTAAGAAACTTGCGGGACTCACTGCCACAAGGTGTCATGATGGCTGCTGTCTTAGAAGACTATAAAAGCTGATGGTGGGGGGAACAGAGGCGGTTTTTTTTGAGGGCTGTTAGAGGAACGTCCGTGTTTGGAAACAACCTACTACTGTATGTGCCCCCAAAGAGCTATATGCTCAGCCAAATAACACCTTCTGGTAGTCCCTGGCCCAAAAGACATCCGTTTGGTCCATACTGCCGCGGTGCTATAGTGCCTATTCTGACCAATCCTGCTTACGGGATCAACAAAGCGTTACCAGGCAACAGGTTGCGGTCTAACTCGCTTCCTTAGGAGGCACTGGAAGTCCCGGAAGATTTTTTTTTGGCCATCTTGGATCTGAGTAGCAACTTTGTTATTTGTTCATCTGGATTATTATTCTTAATGTTTTAATTCTATGATTCTGTGTATTTGACTGACATGTTGTGACCCACCCTCAGCCTGCATGCAGGGGAGGGCAGGATATAAATCAACATAAACTGGGCTTTTTTTGTAGAAAAAACCCAGCAGGAACTCATTAGCATAATAGGCCACATCCAACAGCAGAAACTAATTAGCATATTAGGCCACACTCCATACCTTCTCTTGGCTTGCCCGGGCACCCCATGGCTGTGCGGAGCTCGGGCAACCCCCCCCACCAAGCCCCTCCCCGGACAGGCCGGGGAAGGCGTTTAAATGCCTCCCTGATCCTTTCAGGCCCCCCCGGCCTGCCCGCCTCGGAGTCGCCGGGGGAGTCACTCTCCAGGCCTTCCCTCTGTAGCCACTGCAGGCGCAGAGGTTTTGGCTACAGTGGGCGTGGCCAACTCTGAAGCCAGCCGGAACTCTGTTCCTGTGCGTTCCTGCCCCAAAATAGCCCTGAATAAAATACTGAGTAGTACCGGATGCTGGGACGAACCAGTCAAGGGAAGGCCAATGTCGATCACAGGGGTGGCCAAACTGCGGCTCAGGAGCCACCTGTGGCTCTTTCACACATACTGTGTGGCTCACGGCTGGGGGAGCACAGGGGAGGCATACTTTTGTCTCCCTCTCTCCCTTCTCCCTCCTTCCCTCCCATCTATTTGCTTTCTTGGTTCTCTGTCTCTCTCTCTCTCTCTCTTTCCACCTCTTTAATTCTTTCTTTCCATCTCTCTCCCTTTCCCTCTCTTTCAGACAAATACATATCATTAGCAAACAAATACCATTGGACAAATAAATATCATTATCAATATCTGTTTTTACCCCTTCTGTTTTTATTTTTGGCAGTCTCACGTAATGTTAATAAAAAGCAAATGTGCATATTTTAAAATAAAAACATGTGTGTGATATCTGTTCGTGTCTTGCGGCTCTCGAACCTCTGATGTTTATTCTACGTGGCTCTTAACGCTGAGCAGGTTTGGCCACCAGCTTCTTAGAGACATCTGCTGGAAACTCAGGGGTTGTTTCGTAGAAAAAGAGCTAGGGGAACTCATTAGCATAACTCATTAGCATATGCCACACCCCCTGACATCACCGGAAGTGTGTCATAAGGCCACACACCCCGCCCCCAA